GTGTGTGTGTGTGTGTGTGTGTGTGCATGTAAGTTAGTATGTGTATACGTGGTGAAACACCAAACCTATGTGCCAGGATCCGTACAATAAAGAAGTATCTTATCTTATCGTACAATATATCTCTTCAGGTACTTTAATTCCCACTGTTCTGTTACTATGTCTTTAGATATACCTGGTTACTACATTCAATCCTGAAAATCCAATTCAGTGCCTCGGTATTCTTTTTTTTCTTTCAACATTTTTTAGGCTACAAAAAGGCAAACCACTGTAAACAGTTTGTTGGGTTTTGTTTAGTTTTTTTCCCCCCCCAGCGACAAAACGAACGAGGGCCGATTAAACTAGATCTACTTCTGCAATAGATAGATAGCCAACACTTCTAATGCAGGGCTGTATGTAGGTCTCGGAATGAGAATGTATCTCACATTGAGCATTGAAAAAAAAAAGATTTTTAAAAAAAGAAGACAAAAAAAGACCAAAGTGTCCAAAGCGCGCCAGCAATACGCGATTCGCCTGATCCAAGGGGAAATTGATCGTGCGCAACTTTCTCTCCAGCCTGTGACTGTCTATCAAAACTATCTTATCATAAATCTCAACGTGCGTAGGCCCCCACCGGGGCTCCACTAGACCAGGTCACCTCATTACAACAAGCCTTCCCGTTGGTTCAAATTCTAGCCAATGGCAGGCCGAGTTTTATTGCAAAGAACAAGGCCAGGTTTCTCCAGTCATTCTATTTTAAGAACACTACATCATTGAGGCGCCACTAGGGATAATTTGAAGTTTTTCGTGAAAGATAATTGCAAATAATGACACACTTCAAGAACTAAAGTACTAATTTCAGACTGCTAGCACATTTTTCTCTGTATTGTATTGTAATACACCCCATAAAGCTTCCAGATATTTGAAAAAAGCTTTAAAATCAAAGAAATTGAAATTTCCATGCAAACCTTTGCAGACCTCATTTGCATAATAATACATGTATCCCGGGATTGCCTGTTCTGAGAAAACTTGGGCCGTGTTTACGAAAAGTGCCGCTTTAAATACAATGGGTAAACAGGTTCAGACTTCAGTTGTATGAGAGCTGTCCAGTGTGAGAACACTTGGTGCTTTGAAACTACTTAGGAAATATAGATTCTATATTTGTGGGATTTTTTTCCTTGTCCATCGTGCTATCAGTTGTTTATAAGAACAAGCTCGAGCAAGGTATTTGCCAGTTGATTCGAAAACCACAGGACGAAACACTCTGCGTGTTTGGACCACCAAATAGTTGTAAAGTTTTCCTCATTCTTTGGAGTTTACTATCGATGAACTTCGACATGCCTTCAGAAACTGGTGAGTTTGTGCTTATTTTAATAGGCCTACTTTAAAAGAAAAAAACCCGATAACAGTGAATCCACTGCTAAATCATGTAGATCTAGAATCTAGATCTAAGTCATCAAAGTGATTGTTGTCGAGGGGTTGCGCAAAGACTCGGACATAACTTTCTCTTCTGCTGGATATTTAGATTAGATTATTTAGATTCGTTTAGATTATAAGGCCTACTGCACTATACTGAGACTGAGTGCCATGCTAACAGTTGCATGTAGAATCTAGACATGTTTAACATGAATATAATTCCCAAAGCACGGTTTTTGTCTAAATTTGCTTAGCGTAGTTCTTATCATAGATTTATCTGTCTGTTCAATTAGATGACAGTCCGTCCTGACAAATCAGTCTTCACAACTCTAGCCTAGCTGCTCGCACCCGGGCCTCGAGTTTGGCCTGGGGGCCGAAATTATTAACAAATCAAAAGTGTAGGCGAAGTTCATTTTTTTCCCTTGGCCTTCTCAATTTTTCCGTAAAATTTCTCAATTTGTCCATAAAATCATTATTTTTATGAAGGCGCAATCTACTATGATTGAAGTCGGTGTGCAATTTACATTTTCATAGCAGTTACGAGAACAAATAATATTATCTTTATGATCATCTCATGCGGCCAAATAATATATGATTGTCAACATTTTCCATCATAAAGTGATGTTCTCGTGTTTGCCTCCAGGGTTCTCGTTCATCGAGCAGTACAAGTTTCTGTCTCGGGAACTTCACGAGCAGTCTCAGACCTGTACGGACATGGTCTCTATGGATCAAGAGGTGAGTGTAAGTGTGACTTACTTTTGTCCAGTCTCTCTCTCTCTCTCTCTCTCTCTCT